TTTTTTTTTTTTTTTTTTTTTTTTTTCAAAATATATATTACCATAAACATTTGCCTGCCTGACATTCTGTTCATTTATTAGGTACATGCATGAAAGATTACGTACACATGCTGAGTCTGTTGCATTTTTTGGTGGTGGTGCCAGAGAGAAAGAGGCTAGTCTCATTATCCCTTTGTATCCCCTGCTTTAAATGTAATATTGAATGCTCTCTTTCAAGAGTACTTGTTCATATTTAAACCATAATGGTTAAGCCCAATTGTTCACTGAAAATCTATTAAAAGTCAGAGGTTGTTTTCTAAACATTATAAATGCTGTCACCACCTGTATTTGTCTTAACATCCGAAGTTGGAATGGTAAATATTTGAAGCTGTAATAAATATAAATGAAATCCTGCAGTGACATAAGACCTTGAATGAGGAGGATTATACTCGCAGTTGGATCACTAGTAGTAATGTCAGGAACTTGTACTTAAGCATAGCAGGTATAGATAGAATTACATGCTGTGGAAGTACAAAGTTACAACATCAATGACCAGGAACTGTTGAGAATGATTGAAATTAGTACATGTTGTTTGTAAGGCAAGAAACTGATTCAGTTACGGAACTACAAACTTCTTGCTGATCATTTGTTTCAAGATACTGAATGTTTGCTTATAATCTATAAGCATGCATGAAGACCTCACTAGTATTATTTTTATCTCTCAATTTTCCTCATAAAATCTTCTGTTATTGCTTCTGAAGTTGTAAGTTTAGCATTTTGTGGGCACATTTGATCAAATCAACTGTCCAGACATGAATAGTAAAATGCGATAAATATCACCTCACATCTAACTATTCTGATGTTTTACTCAGTTTTTGACAACAGCTAGCTAATTTTAGCTAGCTTCTCCTGCTGTGCCTGTCTTTATCATACTTGTACTGCTCTGCGTGTCTTGAATCTTATCAATCCTGCTTGTACTGTCCAGATGATTGAATCCAGATATACAGAACTTTTTAATCACTCTATATTTCTTCTTAAGAAGAAATGGTTATTCGGCATACTAGATGACTTTGTGACGAAGCAACTTCCGCACAATGTTACTTGGGGATTAAGCTTATTGTATGCCATGGAACACAAAGGGGATCGAGCCAAGACTTCAACTCAAGGTGAGAGCACTTCATTAACAATTTTTGTTTTCCATTTTCTTACTTAAACCTCATCATATAAACTTTACATTTACGCTGCTTTCTTATTCAGGTGAACTGGCACATGCTCTGCGATTCTTAGCATCTGTCGTATCTCAAAGCTTTTTGGCATTTGGTGACATTCTTGAGCTACATAGGAAGTTCCTGGAGCTTTCTGGTGGTGTCAATCGAATTTTTGAGCTTGAAGAGCTTCTGAATGCTGCTCAACATGGTGTGTGGCGCTCCAATCTTCTTTCTTTGTCTATTAATTCTTTATTTGTTTTTAACATATTACTCTAAAAAGTTGATGAAGATTATGCTTATTCATATGGGAATTTGTAAAAGAAAAAGCTTGTCAAGGAAATTCGAAATATATAGTACCATTGTTGGAGAGGATATGCAATTCTTGTATGGTTTTGGTAAAATAAAAGGTTTCATTAGTGGACCAGTAGTTGATTGATGTTAAAAATGGACGTTCTTTAGACATGTTGTGATAAAGAGTGTGACCAACTCTTAAATTTAGGCTGAATCTTCAGCCTTCTGGCATTTTCATGTTATATTAGGTTCAACACCAGATCTAAAAAGGTACAGGAATTAAAGTTACTAATGGGAGGATATGAGAGTAACGATTTGCATCTGAAACCCTCTTGTCAAAACTTAATATGCATTTAGGAATTGGTGGAACTTTAAATTGCAGGCAGAAAGAATGAAAGTTGAAGGATGTTCTTAGCCCAAGATCTGGGAGAAAATGTGGACAGTAGTTCTTATGGAATCAGAGATGGGAACAACCTGGTGGGCAGAGTGTGGTTTCAAAGCTGAAGGTGAACTTAGATGTATCCTACTTGCGCTGATACAGTTTTCCGTTAAATCCAACTGCAGAAACAGAGATCTAATTCCTGGGTGTTTGAAAACTGAAGCAGCGACTTTGGGGAAGAACAGGGAAAGGGGGTGGGTGGATGTTGGAGCTGTATCTGTAAGGGCACGTGTATGCTCGGCATTTTGTAGGTCCAACATAAGAGGTAGTGTAGTAGCTAGTTCTAGATCCAACTTATTCAGAAGCAGGGATATCCACTTAACAAAGGGTTTTCTTGATATAACAACCTATACAATTCTAGTTTTCAGGAGAGTGGTGGCAGGACAGCCAGAAAGGGTAAATTATCTGATTTCTTATAGTATATGGTAACTGAGCTTTTCTACACTTCCCATCTTTAAACGTTGGAGCAATTTAAGTGGCTTTCCATGTTTCATAACACGTGAAGTACACTGACAACTTTGACTTCCTGGTTGGAAAGAAAAATTTTGGGGGGTGGGGGTGGTTTGGGGGTTGTTACGTTACCTCTGATTTCTTATAGTATGTGGTGACTGAGCTTTTCTCCCCGTCCCATCTTAAGACGTCGGAGCAATTTAAGTCGCTTTCCGTGTTTCATAACATGTGGAGCACACTGAAACAAAGTTGAATTTGTGGTTGGAAAGAGAAGGGTTAGTTTGAAACCATTAAAAATCATGAAACTTCTGTTTGATCTAGATTCTGGGTGTTACTTCTTTTGATTGGGTTTCCTTGACTCTGGCTCTAAAAAAAATATTTAGTACTTGAAATCCTGGACGAATGGAGTAGAAATATCAAGTGTGAGATATTATGATGTTCTGCAAGGCCTTTGAAAATGTAATGATTTGTGGCATAATAATTGAGAAGTAACTAAAACTTGTCTGATCTCTGCACTGAAATCCTTATTTGAAAGTTTGAAGCCATAAAAATTCATGAAACTGCTGTCGGATCACATATGCAATATTGTACTACCTTATTTTTGAAAATTTGGGTTCTGGGTGTTAATTCTTTTGATTGTGTTTTTGGAAATTCAATGGCACTAAAATAAATATTTAGTACTTGAAATCCTGGATGAATAGAGATAAATTTAATATGATTTGCATGGTAGAAATATCAAATGTTATATATAATGCTGTTCTCGATTTTTTGGGACATGCATAACATTATAGTTGATTATTATGGGATCGGCTTTAATTTGTTGCTTTTGAAGAAGTATATTGATTTTATTATATTCTGGCTGACATGGTTGGTACTTTTGCAGAAGATAGTCACAATGGCAGTTCTACGCTATCAAATCTGACTGAATCTCAGTCAAAAAATGCTATTACTTTCTCCGAGGTGGATATTATTACTCCAACTCAGAAAATGTTGGCTAAACAACTGACATGCGTTATAGCTCCAGGGAAAAGCCTTCTTGTCACTGGTTAGTGGATAACTCACCTCTATTACTGCAGTCTTTCCAGACTTCTAGTATAATCATGTTGACTATTTCTCTTTTGAAGGTCCAAATGGGAGTGGAAAGAGTTCCATCTTCAGAGTCCTGCGAGGCCTATGGCCTGTTGTCAGTGGAAGACTTGTTAAACCACTCCATAAGATTAATTCTGGATCTGGCATTTTCTACGTGCCTCAACGACCGTATACTTGCTTGGGAACCCTAAGGGATCAAATCATATATCCACTTTCCCGTGATGAGGCAGAGAAAAGAGCATTAGGTTTGTTAAATCAAATGTTCTTGCTAATGCTTCTATTTTCCTTTGGATTTATTTTCTTTTTAGCAGATTATGATTTACGATATGCGTAAAATAACTCATTGAACTTGAATAATAAAATAATTTAAAACCATCATTAGCCATTTATGAATGAATGAAACATTTTTTTTTTTAGTGATGGCACCATTTTTAAAGAACATAACCAGTGCATGAACCTGGTTGAGTCCTCAAATTATGAGGTCACTAATTCTTATATGTTATTTCTGGTCACATCTACCTCTTATTCTTACCTTGGCTAGTCAAACCGTGGAATGAAGAATATGTTCCTAATAAACAAATAGGACTCTTTTAAATATTGTTGGTGTCAGAACTTTGCCATTTTTTGAGATTTATAATTTACCACCCTGGTCAGGATTAAGTAGTGACAGGGTATTGTTGCATTATCTGTGAACTTATTACAGCCTTCAATTACTAGCTACCCAATTAGCAGGTCGTTAGTTAGACAGGACTGTCCTGGGCTGTTGACTAACAGTTCTTTAGGCAGTGTTAATAACCGCCCCTTATCTTTTACCAAAGGAATTCAGGTTAAGGTGCCAGACGTGAGACTTGAATAGAAGAGATTATTAATCTTTATTTTATTGATATTTGGATATTGCTACTACCAACAGAATGCAATTTGTTGGCGGGACATTTTTCTTATTTTATTAGATGTGAAATGTTGGTGGTAATAAAAATCAAATGAATGAAAGAGTAGTGCATTTCCACAGGGTTGAAGTTCCTGTACTTTATGAATTGTCGAAATCACAGTAAATCTTTCTAGTCTTCAGTTTGGTTATTCAGTTATGCATTCTATGAATTACGTGGCTGCTTCTCTCATATGGTGTGAAACCCTGTTCTTCTTTTTATTCTACTTTCTTAATGTTTCAGCAGTCTGTCCCCAAAGGTCTAAACCAATGCATCTTAATTTATGGGTTAACTTTCTAGGTCAAGAATCTGTTGGCGCCACTGAAAGTTTGGATGCACATCTAAGAACTATTTTGGAGAATGTTAAATTACTCTACCTTTTGGAAAGAGAAGGTGGATGGGATGCTAACCAGAACTGGGAAGATATTTTGTCTCTTGGGGAACAACAGAGACTGGGCATGGTAAGTGCAAATATAGAAATATGGCTTCTTGACAATGGGCTTGTTTGACATGTTAATTTAGAAAATTCTACATAATTGTTGACACATTTTAATGTTTCACAAGGCACGGCTATTCTTTCAGAAGCCCCAATTTGGAATCCTTGATGAGTGCACCAAGTAAGCAAATGGAACTCATAATATTCTCTTTCTTCTTTTACTGACGGGGACGAAGCTTATTCTCATCTCTCGTCTCTCCTTTCATCTTACAATTACAGTGCTACCAGTGTTGATGTTGAAGAGCACCTTTATAGCCTTGCTAATGATTTGGGCATCACGGTTATAACATCCTCACAGGTACATGGTGCTATTGACTGGCTGAATATCAGTCTTTGCTGTCTTTATTTACCTTGTAGTAAGATAACATTGCTCTCAGCTCATGCACATGCCTCACTTCTGTACTTTGTCGTACACATTCACTTCAGATTCTAGTTTATGTTTATTTTCTGTCAATTAATGACTTTCATGCTTATCTTTTTCCAGCGTCCTGCTTTGATTCCATTCCATTCGTTGGAGTTGCGGTTAATTGACGGTGAGGGTAAATGGGAGCTTCGTACAATTGAACAGTGAATGGGCATACCATTTGCTTGTAATTTGCCGCCATGATGCACAATGGATTACGGTGCATGCATCACCAAGTTTGCTATCCAGTGGATTTGATATAAACTGAACCATACAATTAGGTTGCAAATCTCCCAAGTGATTTTGGGTAGCAGCGAGTATAGTTCATACACCATAACTGTTATCTAAAGTAAAGAAGCACAGTTAGAGCATTCAATAAATTTTCTATTTTCTTTTTTTCTTTTTTTTAAACGTTTGGTGGTTGGTTTAGGTGGGGGAGAAATTGTTATAATAGAAACATTACGTACAGGCATGAGAGTTACCTTGTTTTGTTGTAAAATTTGGTATCCAATCATGTTGATTAGCCCTCGTAATAATAATTATGGGCACAAGGAGGGCCTATTGACCGAAAGTCTCGGATTCTCTTTAGCATCCATCATGTTCAATTCTTTTCTGTAAACATGTATGGCCTTAAATGTTTATCTTCCTCATAAATTACATTCTGTTCTCCCCCGTAATATTGTCCTGAATCTGAACGCGTCTTTTACAAGATTTAAGTGAAGTTGATACATATATTGTTGTTTGTTTTGTGTGGCTACTTTTATCTTGAAGATCATAGATGGCATGGGTCATTTCAAGATTGGTCTCTTCTGGTTAACCCTTCCTTTCATTCTAGCCTATCAGTTGCAGATCATATCAAATTTTGGTAGGCATCATTGGAACCAAATAATTTCTTGTGTGCATTGTGCCTGTGTGCAAAAGCTGGCGCTTTTAAGGATTTTTTAGATTACTATAAAGGATTTGTTTTGGGTATGAAATTGACAGGTTAAGATTCCCTTTTTAGTGGAAAATCTTCACGTTTTTTACACTACATATTAGTGGTTCAATCGCTTATCCATATCTCATGGTGATTTTAGACCAAGTGTTTCTATCGATAAGTACTTGGGCACCACTTTATTGCCAACGTCTCAATCCGCTCTCTTTAGAACTCAACTTAATGGCCAATCGCTTTATATATTGATGGGTGATGCTACATGTACATTTTCTATGTACATAATGCTTTATCTCTCTCACATAGAGGGGAGCCGGCACATAATTTATTATGTGTGGGCCCTTGAAAGGGGGGTGTAATATATTATGTACATTGAAAGTGTACAAGTAATATTTTTCTCCTAGAAATCTAGCTTTTGTAAAGCCAAATCTATACACACTCAACATATTTTGTGGGCCCTTCATTTAATTTATTGGATATGTAGGAAAATTGACTCCTTGTAGTGGACAGCTTTTCATTTGCCATCTTCAATTTTTGGTGCGACCATGGGCTTCAATTGTATTTATCATAATATATTTTTGTTCTTCTCTGGTGCAGAATTTTCAATCATACTTATTAACGTTTGAACTTATCTTCAAAAATTGCTTATGCAACTATAATGATTTCTCTCTGATTTAACCATTTGGTAACCTTGCGATGTACCAATTGGATTTTAAAATGTAGTATATTGAGCCATCCTATCACGATCAATGCATCCATGTTTCTGTATAAAATAATGCTATTTAGCACAATTGATATTACAACACTAGTCCAGGTGACATTAAATAAAATGCTCAATGAAAAATAGAATTAAGTGATTCATTTAATTATGCTTCTTATCTAACGCAACGTTAGTGTCACCTAAACTGATGATGTAACAGTAATACTAAATAGGAATATGTAGAAATCAATATATTTAAAATGTTAATTTCAAATGGATTACAACATGTAAGTGAAAATTAATGTTGACGTAACTCAACACTAATCCCCGGGGGGAGAGGGGGTCGCCTTAGAGAATTACTAGCCCTTCAAGAACCCGAAGAGGTTATATCAAATTAAAGATAATCCAACACGAAATTACAGAAAGATTCAATTGGATGCTTTTATTATATTGGATAATTACAACTAAATCTTTGTCATTATGGACCTCTAATCTTCGATTAATTAATAATTAGTAGAGATTACTCATAACATTGTATGCAGGCTTCCTCTAAAAAGTAACACCATCTTCTTTCCACTATCTACATGTGCAACTGCATATATATGTATATATCCCACCAAGCAATGCCCTTCTCATCAAAACTCTCTTCCTCTCTCTGAAATCACTCTTGCATACACACACGAACAGATATGGGGTATCAGTCTTATTCTTCTACGATAAGCTGTGAAATCCGAATCATTAGAGCCAAAAATATAGATATCAAAACCCAGGGAGAAGTATTTGTTAGATGTTATCTGTCTGCAGGAAACAACAAAAGAGTCCAAATAAACACCCAACATATCCCAACAAAATCTGATTTGCTTTGGAATGAAACTTTCTCTTTAGACTGCTCGGGAAGTGATGAGGACTCCATTTCCTTGCTCAAACAAGGAAGTGTCATCTTCGAGCTCAGGTGGAGAAGCACTGCGCCATTCATTGGCAGAATCAACGGCTCAAAACTCTTGGGAAGAGCTGAGATTCCGTGGAAAAATATCTTTTTATCACCAAATATGGAAATTGAGAATTGGGTTGTAATGATCCCAAATGATAATAAATGGGTAGACGAAGATGCCAAACCAGCTGCAGTGCAAATAGGAATGAAAATTCAAGAATCTGCAGTGGCGTCTATAAAAAGAAGGAAAAATGATAGAAAGTGGGATGAGTGTGGCTGCTGCATGGATGGTATGTGTAGTTCATGTGTAGATTATGACATTTTTGCTATTGGAGCTGCTTTTGAAACATTGTAACTTTAACTAACTAGGTTTGTTCTTGCATTAAAATTTTGGATTAATGTATTCAAAATCTGTATTTATTTTTTTGTGGCAATTCAACTAGTTAAATTGCAAAATTTTCAGTTAGTCTTTGCCTTTCCTCAAGCATTTTCATCGTTTCCAAGCATCAATTAAAATGGAATATATAACAGATATCCACTATAAGTCATTCTATCTGAGGAACCAGTAAAAATCATTACATGCTGGGATTAATTTCTTAGTCGGTAATGAAGAAGATACTGAAGCCAAATATGGAGGATTTCTAGTTAAGGTTTCCAATACGCTCGTGGTTCTAGATTTGAGAGGATTCGATGGCAAACATCGATGTTACATAGAAGAATTATTGGCAAGAGAGATGATTGTAGCTGAATGGCCTATTGAAGGATAGAATGGCGGGATATGCGAATGTGATAAATGTGAAAATGTTTGAAAGAAGATGTATTATTTAGATATCTAGAAAATAAATGTTATGTTATTTGTTGTAGCTCACAGCAGCAGTCGTTCTACGTGGCACACATGTGACAATTAGTAATTTGATACATTAATGTGATAGTTTTTTTTTTATTATCTTATGCAACAAATCACTAACCGTCGCATGTATGCTACTTAGGACAATTGTGATAGTGAGTGATTATAAATAGCATTATTCTTTCTTTATCCGAGCCCAACTATAGTTGAGCTTAATTAACCTAATTATCGGCGTGACGAAAATGGCCGGGCAAAGGTTTGGCCTTGAACGAGTCATTTCAAGATTAATCTAAAATTTGAGCAGGTCATCAACATCTCTAACCTTTGTGCACTTGTGATGTAACATTGTAACTGAGTGCAAGAACATTAGCTTTTAATGATTTTTTTGGATTATTATAAAAGATTTGTATATGTATCAAGTTGATAAGTTGAAATTCGTTTTTTACGTATCAAGTTGACAACTAAGATTTCATTTGTAATGGAAGATCATTTATGTTTTTTAATTACCTGATGCGTATTAGTGTTTCGATTACTAATCTATATCTCAAGGTGATTTTTGGCCCTTTTTCAATTCAGTTGTTCCTATCGATTAACTAAGATAAGTACTTGAGCAGCACTTTATTGCCCATGTGTGAATATGCTTTTCCTAAAGAAATCAACTAGTTGTGTGTCATGGCCAATTGCTCAGTGCTAGACGACTAGAAACCCAATTTTTTATAATGTGATATTTGTCGACTGTCGTAATGTTATATTCCGATGTTTATCTAATAAATTTATCATTATTTTGAATGTTATGTAGTAAAATGTATCATGGACGTTTTAGACGATCGATGTCTCTATTAAAGTTAATTATTATATGCATATAGTTTAATTGAACTTGACATAAATTATGTGATATATACATTTTTTTTTTATTGTATGCTTATCATTAATAACTTGCCATTTATACGTAAACTCAATCTACCAATGTTTTGAAACGATTCATTTCTATTCTGAGTAAATTCTATATAAATTAATTAGATTGACAAATAGAACTAATATTTAGGATTAAATTGTTTAGTATATGTAATTTTTGTGTTCTAATTAACTCATCCCATCCCTATATAGGTGCTTATTAGGGTTTATTCTTATAATTCACTTTTTTTTTTTTTGCCCGAATTTGAGAATTTTTTAAAATAAGAATTAGGATGACGTTTGAGAGTCATACAAAAGTACCAAACCTTTGGAATTTCAAGTTGCACTACCAAACCAGTGCATTTTGTTAGTTCTATTTTTTTTAAATAATTTATGTCTCAATTAATTTTCATAATTGGTGAGAGATAAGATGATATACTTTACAACACATGCTAGAAGGGCAACTTTCTCGAATTATTATTTTGTGACACACACTAAACTAGCAAGCCTATGACCAAGAATAAGCTCATGTTTGGGAGTTGTTTACAATCGATTAAAATTATAATCAGATAGAAATACGTCGTGAATAAGTTGGTAGTCCTTGTGGGACTATGAAAAGTTTATAAACAGAACCCAAACATGGGCCAAGTCAATCACACTTAACTAAATTACAGTCAACTGATAAAATCAAGAATGCACTTCATGCCAAAAATACTTCAAATGACAACTAAATTACATTCCATAAGTACAAAAGTAGTAATGGATAAAGTGATCGAGAAAAGCACATAAGGGTCCTCATAGTGATATTGACTCCTTTTGCTAGAAGTTCATCAACTTGTAAATCATGCACAAACAAATAAAAGATATAGACTCTGTTAACTAACTTGCCCAAATGGTAAGATTGTTAGAAAGGGAAGAAATATATTTTTATCTTCAAAATATCACTTCTTGTGTAGGTTAAAATTACCTCCTTTAATCATCTCAAAATATGAGGTGGAATTTATAAATCGAGTCGCCGTAAGAATTTATCTTATAGTATCATCTCGAGCTTGGATAGTCTAGATTGTTTTTACATCCCTAACTTCGAATCATACCAGTACTATATCAAATAGTCTCGCATAAATAACACATTAGAAGCTTGAACCTTCATTCTTTCTCCTTGCAATCTTTGCAAGTAACAATAAATACCTTTTAATCTACACCGATCAATGAATTTGATTGATCAATTATGTATTGTGGGGACTGTTAATATTGAATTAACTGATTGATCAATTAAATAAGTCATATTTAATTCAACTAAAAAAGTTGATATAAATTTAAGTTAAAGCGAATAATTATTTTTAACCATATATTTCTTGAAATTCGTAATTCTTCAACTGCACATTTTATCAATTTATTTATTAAAAATCTGATTTTTATCAAAAAGAGCATAGACTGCATCAAGTCATAAAATAAAATTGGGCTTTAAAAAGTGACCCCCAATTTAAAGCCCACGTTCACTGAGTTGACAGATAACCCAAGTCCAATTAAAGCCCTCCTCCTCAACGTACCGATGAAAACCGAATTCACCGAGCCATCGCCGAGAGCTTCATTCCGCTTTAGTGGTGCACGTCAACAATCGATGATTGATACGTCACATTAGCGATATCATTATGTGCAATAATTATGTAAAAATAGAATTTTTATTATCAAAATTCTTACCAAACAAGCACTTAATCAATATTCTAAGAATGGGAAGCAGACTAGGAAGAAGAGTAGTTAATTTTGCTAATCTTCCCATAAAACTCCTCGTGCCTTCTTCTTTATCCAATATTTCCGAAATTGCTATCAAAACCATTCCCTCCGCTTCAAAGGTTCAATATGGGTATTTGAGTTTATATATGTAACGTATAATCGTTAATTATCTTTTGATATTTAATTATTTAAATCTTGCAGATTGAGATTAAGCGGGTTTTAGAATCACTTTACGGATTCGAGGTGGAGAAAGTCCGGACTCTAAACATGGAGGGCAAGATGAAGAAGCGAGGAGACTAATGTGACCCTCAAAAACCCATTGTCCGTAAACCCGGACCTTTACCCAATATGGATAATTAAAGCGGGCAAAAGGAGTTTGAATAAGCAGTCTAAATCGAGCATTGTGGAGGACCCGGAAGCTATAAAGAAGTCGCATTGGCTTGATGAAAAGAAAGATGGCAGGAGATTTAATAGGCCGGAAGGGCGTACCTTTGGTTGCCGTGGTGGCAGTGATGGTGATGGAGCAGTGGCCACGAGCTCGGGGGCAAAATTTCCATGGAGCAGTATGAGGTCTTTTGGGAGGTAACATGTATTAGTTTTCAAGATTTATTTATGGGGAGCTGAAATGATGGCTAGATGTTATAAAATGTCACAGTATGTTTAATGGTATATATTCTTGAAGTAATTTTTGAGTCTGGTAGATTTATTGATATCATTATGGTGCAAAGATGATGGAAAAAGGATTGCTATGGCGTGAACTTTTCACTTGTAGCATAGTGGTGAGTATTCCCGCTTGTCACACAGGTGACCCGGGTTCGATTCTTGGCAACGGGCTTTGAATTTTTTGTGTACCTAGTTCCAAAGTTTCACTTATTTACATGAAAGAATAATGTCGGCAAAGTTATAGTATAGTAGAGAATACTCCTGTCTATCATGTGGATTACTTGGTTCGATCTCTACCAATGGTTAAATTTTACCTTTTGTATGCTATTAGAGCTCTAGCTCAAGCACCCGCTCAAGCTCCATCTCCTCGCGTGCTTAACGTGTTATAATTAACCGTGGCGCCAATTGTATAGATGCTAGACGTCAATGAGTTGTCATACAACTGGAATAGTTGGTTAGATTCCTTTTGTATTTATATGGACAAAATGTATTATTTCACACTGATTGATCAATACATGAAAATTCTTTTTATCCTTCAGTATGGTATGAGAGTCTATTAAGTTGTAACAAGCAATTCAATCCAATTAAGACTAAAAAAAATTAGCTCACGTATTTCCAGATTGATTTGCTCAAATGAGCTACTATCTTGCAAGGACATGTTATGGGATATAATCTCACGTCGAATAAAAATGAAAATATAGATCAATTTATAGGAGTTGACTACTTTTTTTTAACAAGAATGACATTTTAAAATGGAACCCCAAATTTTAATATGATATCAGAGCGAATGACTCATGTAATCCCATTACGAAGGACATCACGTACTCCATTTGGTAATGTTTAGCAAGCTTCTTGTTTCCTCCACACACGCATTTACCACATGAGCATGAAGGCAAGTAATTACCAACCTCCTCCCAAATGATTGTCCCTGTGTTAGGTTCATCAGTTCACATCACATTTTATGAAGGTGTAGAAATGGTGTTTCTTCATCAATCTACATAAATCTCATTTTTGTTGAAGGCAACAAATTTTGCAGCATTTATACTGAATTCAATTATAAAACATTTTTGGATTTCATTTTTCCTTCACAAGGGAATGCAATTTCGAGGGGGAACTCTCTTATTCTGGTATTGCATTATATCTTATGTTTTAACTTCTTTTTCTTGTCTGGCATACCTAATTTTAAGGAGGATTTTCTTATTGTTGATAAGCAAGTAATATGATAATAGCTTTAGTAGAACAAACTTTGCGTTTGAACACAACATGAAAGTGCCCAACAAATGATACTCATCATGACATTCTTTACAACTAGTAACTCACAATAACAATGTTCATTTTGAACGATAAGTAATGTTATTTAGCAATACTGACATTACAATGCCCCAATTTGATTCCCATTTTTGGGATAAAATGAATTATAGAATAGTAGTTTTTTGGAGAATATGTGGTTAAAAAGTAAGGAAAAGTTTTTGAAATTTGTGTATAATTATTTTATAGAAAAATGTGTGGTTGAAAATGAGTTTTGAAAAAATGGGGATCAAACAAGGGCAATATCTGCTTAGGTGACACTAAGCAATATTAAATCAGAAAGACAATTAAATGAGTAACATAATTTTACCTTTAATTGAA